ACACACACACACACACACACACACAGACAGCTGTATGTTGTTTTGTTGGAAAGGTACAGGTTCATATTAGCATTAAAAATGACGTCACAGAGAAATTTGAGACAAGAAAATCTCAAATGTATAACACATTTTGCAGCAGTCAATTTTTAGAAAAAAAAAAACAATTAAAATGTTTGTATAAAAGTGTAAACATGAATAACAGAAGACCGTCCTAATAAAAACCAGCTGGTAAAATCTAGACTAAACAGACATGGCTTGTAGTCTAATGATTAAATGATTCTTAACCACAGACTGTTATTATCTTTAAAGTTTTGTGTTTTRTAAGTTTTATCTTCAGTTCTCAAAAAACACCTGCGTCCTCCTCATTGACACAAACCAGGTCCAGAAGTTGTTCATCCTTCAATCTGTCAACTTCAYTGTCTGTTTTGCTGCATGAATAAATAGTTAATTCAATTTTTCAAACAGGAAGTTAATCTGGTTTACATAAAAATGTACTTTGAAGAAGCTCACCMTGTGATCAGGCTGCATAAACAAGATGTTAGTCAGGGTTTGGATCAGAGTAGCTCAGATTATAGTTCTCTACTGGGATGTCCAATTAAAACACTGACTTCCTTCCTCTGAAGTACATTTGTGTCCAGGCATCCTCTCTGCTTTCCTCACACATCACACACAGATCCATGGTATCGAACAACTSCTGGTTCTCTGCCAGGTGTCAAATGAAAGCAGAACAGAGCTGACGGTCAATAACTCCTACTTGATTTAGAACATTACATTTGTGATCTAAAATAGATTTGGTCCTGTCTTGTCTGTGTGACAGCGTTGATTTGCTGTCATTCTAAGTTTTTCCTTATAATTTCTGAAGTCTTAAACTTATCTTTGTTTTCCTGTTCTCAGGGCGCAGTGAGCGGGGTGTTGTTGGTGACACCCAACAACATCATGTTCGACCCTCACCGCATGGACCCCCTGGTTCAGGCCCATGGATGTGAGGAGTACGGCATCATGTGTCCTCTGGAGGAGGTGCAGTCCGCTGCCATCTGCAAGGAGATCACTGACCCCAAGATCAGAGAAGCTGTCCCAGAGTAAGGGAACAAAACAAGTACATTTATCGTACAAGCTCTGTTGTAGTCATAGACTTTAAATAATGCGAATGAGCCCGGCCTGTCCCCTTTTAGCATCTGTGACAACATGGAGGAGCAAAAAATGGTGACAAAAACAGGATGTCAGCTCACAGCCTTCATCAACACTATTTAATTAACAGCAACTGGATCTGTGTCACAAATTATCTGTAAACTTTTTACACTAAATTAATTATTATTATTTGTTAATTTTATCCAACATTCGTGTAAAACATAAAGATATAAAACAGAAAAATATATAAGTAATGAGTAATAAGAAACAATGATCCTAACTAGGCCTGAAGTTA